CACTATTTGTTTTAAACTTTTCCACTGCTCTATGTTAAGATTGAATCTAATAGGTATTTTATTTTGTTCCATGGATAATATATCCTCCAATACCCTGCGCTCAAAAACCGTAATAGAAGCATGATAAACAGGTGGATTAAACTGGGATTTTTCTTTAAAAGGGGTAATTATCACAGACTCAGAATCTGCAAAGAACACTTTCAGTTTAATGAGTCTTATCAGCTTGAATATATCAATCCTTGTTTGAAAGGCATGGTACGTGGGAGAAAAGACAAAACCCAAGCCTAAATTAAGTACGTCATGCATATCCTTGGTTAAAGTCTTGCTAGATAAGTTAACTAATAATTTTTCTTCCTCCCTCGTTTGTAGCCCTGTGTTGTTGTTCAGTCGCACAGTCGAGTCCGACTCTTCGCGACCCCATGGACGAGCTCTCTCCCGGCCTTCCGGTCTTCTGCCGTCCTCTGAAGTTGGCTCAACTTCATGTTCGTTGCATCGATGACACTGTCTAACCATCTCATCCTTTGCCGTCCCCGTCTTCTTTGACCTTCAATCTTTCCCAGCATCAGGGTCTTCTCCAGTGAGTGCTCCCTTCTCATTTGGTGGCCAAAGTATTTTAGCTTCAGTTTCATTATCTGGCCTTCCAGGGAACAGTCAGGGTTGATTTCTTTGAGGATTGACTGATTTGTTCTTCTTGCAGTCCAAGGGACTCTCAAGAGTCTTCTCCAGCACCATAGTTCAAAAGAATCTATTCTTCTGCGCTCGGCCTTCCTTATAGTCCAACTCTCGCAGCCATACATGACTACTGGGAATACCATTGCTTTGACCATGCGGACTTTTGTTGGCAGGGTGATGTCTCTACTTTTTATCATGCTGTTTAGGTTCGCCATCGCTTTCCTCCCAAGGAGCAGGCGTCTTTTAATTTCATGACTGCTGTCACAGTCTGCGGTGATCTGGGATCCCAGGAACGTGAAGTCTGTCACTACTTCCACGACTTCCCCTTCTATTTGCCAAGGAGTGATGGGGCCGGATGCCATGATCTTAGTTTTTTTGATGTTGAGCTTCAAGCCCACTTTTGCGCTCTCCTCTTTTACCCTGAGCAAGAGGCTCTTGAGGTCCTCTTCACTTTCTGCCATCAGAGTGGTATCGTCTGCATATCTGAGGTTGTTGATCTTTTCCCCCGCAATCTTAATTCCTGCTTGTGATTCATCTAGGCCAGCATTTCGCATGATGTACTCTGCATATATATTAAATAAGCAAGGTGACAATATACATCCTTGTCGTACTCCTTTTCCTATGCGAAACCAATCAGTTGTTCCATATCCGGTTCTAACTGTCGCTTCTTGGCCCTTATACAGGTTTCTCAAGAGACATGTGAGGTGGTCTGGTACTCCCATCTCTTTAAGGACCTGCCATAGTTTGTTGTGATCCACACAGTCAAAGGCTTTAGCATAGTCAATTATACATTCAGTATAATCTGTATACTAATAGCCAAGGGTCCCCAGTGCGTGCGGATACTTATTTCCGTAGAACAAGGGCACCTGGAGGCTAAAGAGGTTTTTCTGCACACTTGGAGTACTCTCCAGGGTTGCAGAAAAATGCAAACAGTTAAAAAAAAATACACAGGGGGGGGTTAACCCCCCCCCAAAAAATAAAAAAACTGAGTTGTCTGCATTTGCGCAGTCTGAATTCATGGTTCCTCGCGCCGGACTCGCTCAGTGGCCAGCCTCCCCACGGCCAGCAACACAGTCTTGGAGTAACAGGGCAGGGGACGCCGACGTGTCCTTCCCAGGCAGTTGGCCTCCCCACCGCCAGCAAGGCAACCCTGGAGCCCTCAGGCAGAGGATGCTGCTGCCAGATCCCTCCCAGGCAAGCGGCCTTCCCACTGCCAGAAAAACGAGGAAACTGCAAAAAAGGAGGCCGAAGAGGGGGAGATTGTGTGTGTGTGTGTGTGAGGGGGAGAGAAAGAGAGGGGCAGACAGAGCTTGCTCGCTGCTCTGCCCGCTTGCCATAAACAGGGATAGGGAGACCGTGAGAGCCAGTGCTGCCAGACTGAGTTATCTGTCTGACCTTGGGATGGAGGGAGGGCTTGCGTTCCACTGCTGGTGTAAATATTTCGGCTCTCATGGGGCACTGAGACTCTTCCGCTTATTATGTAACCTTCCACCGGGAGAATTCCCGCGCACCTGCTCAGATTTCATTTGCTTAGCCATTTGCCTCATTTTGCTATATGTAGGGATGTTTCCGCCCTATCGTCATTCCTAACAATAAACCTGTGGACATGGTAACAGACCTGTAGTCTAATAAAGCATAACGCTTCCCTGGAAACGTGTGTGGAGATTTACTTGCTGTAAATCACTATTACAACTGATCTCCAGGCAATAGAGATCAGTTCCCCAAGAGAGAAAATGGCCACTTTGGAAGGTGGGTTCTATGTAGGGTTGCCAGGTCCCCTCATCACTCTGGCGGGGGCATTTGGAGGGTGTTCTGGGATGTCCCTGACATGATTATGTCACCCAGAAGTGACGTGATCACGCCAGAGACGTTATGCAGGGACACTCTGTTTTGAGGGCAAAACTCTATGGTAAATCTGGCTTAAAACCATTGAGTTTTTCCCTGAAACCAGAGCGTCCTCGCACGACGTCCCCGGTGTGATGACATCACTACCAGGTAACATCACGTCGGGGAAGTCACACAGGGACATTGCTGTTTTTTTGGGGGGGTCCCCGACCTAGTTCTGTGGCATTGAAGTCCCTTCCTTCCCAAACCCCGCCCTCCTCAGGCCCCACCCCCAAAATCTCCAGGTATTTCCCAACCCAAAGCTGGCAGTCCTATGGAGCAAGGAACAGCAAACAACTGTGAGCTGAAATACCCGCAAGTATAAATGTACAAAAAGAGACTTCAGTAAAGTGAAAAGCAACATATAATTAGCAATATCAGTAACAAATATTACATACGGGAATGAAAAATCCACAAAATCCATGAAGAATAACAGTCAAGTCCAGAGAAGATATCCAACACTTTTCCTAGATAGTTTATAGTGTTTCAGACTACTGGTCCTTCCTCAGGAACAAAGAACTATAGAAATACAAAATTGTAGAAGTATAAAATACAACAATGCTTTATAACAATATAGCTTCTAAACAATGATGCTAAATAACAATATATAATCACTGTTACACAGAGTCTCATGTATTTTACCAACAAAGGAAGTCTCATACCAGTTTCTTAACGGGATGATGCTATTCTTCTCTGTAAAAGAGAGTAGCTCCTTAGAATAAAGAATATAAATACATAGCATAATATATGGACCAGAAACCCCCAGTATATACTCACTTATGGGCTAGGTCTCCTATGTTTTAATATGCACATCTAGGGTTGCTTCTATGTAAACAGGACCAAACATGCCTCAAAGTATCTGGCCCACTGGAACAGCTTTATGAAACCACATTGATTGCAGCTGGTAGTATCCTGATCAGTTTTTAGGTTATAGAACCTCTTATTGTAAAACTACTAAAGTACTAGGAGTTGCCAACTCCAGGTGGAATACTCCATCACTAATTTGGGCCAGGTCTCCTAAATTTTAATATCCACCTCACAGGGTTGTTTCTAAGTGAACAGGACCAAATGCCTCAAATTTCCTAAGTAAAATATATATATGTGGTGGAACATTCCAACCTTGATATGGGCCAGGTCTCCAGAATTTTTTAATGTGCACCCTACAAGGTTGCTTATGTAACCAGGACCCGATATGCCTCAAATTCCTATGGAGCAGACATCCTTCCTCTTCCGAACACACTTCATATGGCTTCTATGAGGATAAAATGGGAAATACATCAAGGTACTAGTATAGCTGCGGTGGCTCAAGTGGTTAAGATGCTGAACTGCAGGCTGTGGAAGGTCGGTAGTTCAGCAGTTCGAGATCCGAGTGTGCCGCATGACAGAGTGAACTCCCGTCTCTAGTTTCAGCTCCTGCCAACCTAGCAGTTCGAAAGCAAGAAGTTGCAAGTAGATAAATAGGTACCACTTTGTTGGGAAGGTAACAGCGTTCCGTGCGCCTTGCTGTTTAGTCATGCCGGCCACATGACCACGGAAACGTCTTCGGACAGCGCTGGCTCTTTGGCTTTGAAACGGAAATGAGCACCGCAACCCTAGAGTCGGATTCGACTGGCTTTCGAGCAAGGGAACCTTTACCTTTACCTTTTACTAGTATAAGCGGAATTACTATAAACTCAAAACAACAAAAATTGACACTGTTCGCAGATGATATAGTCCTGTACATAAGCAACCCAATCATCTCTTTTTAAAAATTGTTACAACACATTAATAAATGTAACTTAATGTCCAGCTTTACCATAAATTATTTGAAAACCAAATTATACCCTATATATGTTCAATCAGACACTCACCAACAAATTATATCTATTTTTTAAATTCAAATAGATATCCAAAGTATGGAGACATCTGGGAATCAACATACCCATCAATTTGACAGATCTATATGACTGTAATTATAAGCCTATTATAAAACAAATTAGCAATTCCCTAATCGAATGGAATAAACAAACATCAACATGGATGAAAAAAGATAGAACTAGTCTGGTGTAGTGGTTAAGAGCACAGACTTTAATCTGGGAGAAGAGGGTTTCATTCCCCATGCCTCCACATACAGCTGCTGGCATGACCTTCTGTCAGTCACAAGTTTGCTCAGAGCTGTTCTCTGAAGAGCAGTCCTCGAAAGCGCTCTCTCAGCTCCATTTACCTTAGAGGGTGTCTGTTGTGGGGAGGGAAAGGCGATTGCGTTTGTAAGCTGCTCTGAGACTCGAAGTGAAGGGCAGGGAATAAATCTAATCATCATAATCTTCTTCCTCCTCCTCCTGGAGATGCCGGGGACTGAACCTAGGACCTTCTGCGTGCCAAGCAGATACTCTGCCAGTGAGCCACAGCCCCTCCCAAATAGTTGAATCATTAATGCCATTTGTTTGTTTGTTTTAAACCTGCAGGAAAACATAAACATCGATGAAGCTTCCAGGTGTTTGGTGAAACATATCATCGCTAGTGAGAGTGACCCAATGCAGCCCGTCGAACCGGATGTCATTCAACCCCACTTGAATTCCTCCAAGCTCGCCAGCTGTTCAGCTTGCTTTAGACCCTAAGCAATTTCCAAGCTGTTCGCAGACATGGGAACTGAGCAAACAACGGATGAAGAAAATGTCCACCTTGGTTGTGTCTGCCCAGGTTCGGCTGCTCCCGAGCGCAAACCGAGATCTGAAAATGTGCAGCTCTTCTTGAATTTTTCTTTCAGGTTTAGTCTGGTTGCACAAGAGTTTCTCTGTGAGTCTTTGATGGCAACGACTTGGGTTGTTCCAGTGAACGGCCGCTGCTCAGCCTGGTTGCTCTCACGAACAAGGCAGGGGGCATCCGAACCGTTGCTGAGTTTTGCGACCAACCTCTCCAGTGAGAGACTTCAGAATTTGCTTTCCGGGGGTGTTCCGATGACACAGCTCAGTTTAAAGGGATGTTCACGGAAAGCAAAGAGCTGATTGATTGTTCCTGGCAAATTCAGAGGCAGGTTATGCAGTGGACTTAATTTCAATATTTTTCCTGGGGATTTTTTTTTTTTACAAGGGGGTGGTGGAATATATATATATCTTTTGCACTGCAGCACACTTACAGGAAATGTAAATTCTGGTCGTGTCATTAAAGGGTCAGACAATTCTCTTAAGAACTAGCAGGCTTGCCTTAAAGATGACCAGATTGTCCCTAGTTCCTTACGTTACTGATCCAAGCACTGATTGTTCACAGCCTAGACTGCCTGCCTTCCAGTCGAACTGGGACAGTTTAAAACACACACACACCAAAAAAAAAACACTGCGCACAAAGGATTCTTGAGACAATTGTGTAATTGCATGAAGATTCCTTGTCGGTACAGTCTTTCAATCTAAACATTTGTGTTCTTATGCCCACTGTCAGTCTGCAAAGGACGGGAGAGAGATGTTGCAGATCAGCAGTTCTGGACAAAGTTAATCAGAAATTTTTAAAAGTAGACGCATGGGAGATCACATACTCTGAATCCCAAATCAGGGGAAGAAATTGGGATAGAAAACATCTCGTAAGCATCTTCTTTTGTAAGCTCTGAACTGCTACCGGGAAGGGTGTGTGTGTGTTAAGATTTCCTCTGGCCCGTTCCTTCATTGTTCTGGAATTTAGCGTTGTGCTGCATGTCCCTCCTCAATTCTGGTTTAACTAGGAAAATTTATAAAATCCTGGCCTTGGAGATAGATCGAGATGGGTAGGTGTTCTAGTCTGTCTGCAGCAGTAGAAAAGAGCAAGAGTCCAGGAGCACCTTAAAGATTTAACAGAATCTGTGGCAGGAGATGAGCTTTCGGGAGTAACTGCTCACTTCTGCCGTTGGAGCCCGCTGCGTGTGTGTTAAAAAAAAAAAAAAAAGCTCGAGCTCTTGTTTTTATCGTAGAAAATGAGGAATGGACTCAGACAGCCCAAGTCTCAAGCTACTAGACCCCAATGAGGAGTTCACTTTTCCAGCTTTATCCCATTCCTTCCCTTTCACAACTAGAGTTTGATCTCCACTGCCACCAGCAGGCCACTAACAGAATTGCATCCTGATGGCCTTCAGTTAGACTCTCCTCAGATTCAGAGTGTTCCCTCTAAGCTGTGGAGTCTTGTGACCAAAACTTCTACTCTGTGAGCCACTGGCATGAAAGTGGTGAGCGAGTGATTTGGCTGCTGCATAAATTAGTTTGCTTTGGAGCCATCTTTCCTGAGCTAAGGCAAAAATGTGTGAGCCGGAGGCTAAAAAACTGTGAGCTAGCTCACACTCACTCAACTTAGGGGGAACACTGGTCCCCTCCTTGCATTCAGCCACCAAGGGGGAACGGGAAACCTTTGGAAATCTCACTTGTTAGAGATCTTCCCAACTAGGCCTCTCTTCCGTACTTTGATAAGTGTGAGCCAAAGCGCTAGCCTTTTTTCCGTGGTTGCAAGACCCAAGTGTCTCCACTTTTAGAAAAAAAGAACGTTTCGTCTGAGGGGAAAAAGCAATCCATGGATAACAGTAATTAAAAGCATAAGTGGTACAGCAAAAGACTACAACCGTCCGAGCACAGAGAAAATGAAATAATAATAAACACATCCTCTTTCCCTAGGTCTACAACTTACCTCTGTGATGTTGAACAGACAGGCAGAAATATCTTAAGGTTTGTTGTTCAGTCTCTGATATTCTTTGGTTCACCTCCTCTGTCTGGCTACTCGCTGCTCTTCAGACCAGGCGTCTCTGTGTGTCTCCTTCAGAGTTGGAGTCTTTCCGTGTCTCTGTGTCTCTAGCATGTCCGCTCTCTAAAGTATGTCTGTCCTCTTTAGTAATGGCCGCCTCTTGCAGAACGGCTCCTCAGTTCTGCAAAAGGGAGAGTTTCTCCCTGGCCTCAAAACCATTCCCCCCTGAAAATTCACCAGGGAGGAAAAGGAAAAAGCTGGAACCATTTCATCGCCTTGAGGCTGAAAGACGCCCCATTGCGTACGTAAGTTAAAGGCTCTTTCGTCCCACCCCATTACCACTTTCAAAATCGTACAAATGGCTTTATTGTCCCAAACTCTGCAGCTGGGAATTGAGAAGGGGAGGGGAGGGGAGAGAACGGACCCTTCTGAGGAGTCAGGGCTGCTCTGGAGCTTAACCTCTGAGCATTCACAGAGTGTAAACCCAGTTCTCATGATGGTTCAGTGGGGAAGGCCGAGATAGAGGCCTCTGCTTCCACAGCATCCCAGACTATGTTTGGCTATTGCCTGCCCTGACGCAGTAACCCCAAGTGGTAGCTGTCACCATGTCTGTTGCTTGAAGATCTTTGGGAGGATCCACTAGGCCCATTCCCGCCTCTTGTTTTCACACAAAAGCACCCCCAAGTCAAGCTTGAACATTCTGCCTGCCTCAAACTGACAGCCGGCATAGACACGTAACCCAGTTCTTTTGCACCTGAGTGATATGAGGGGAAAATCTAATCTGTTACATTTAAAAAGTGCACTTTGGACGTCATCTATAGCTACCTGCCCGGGAAAGGGGGACTGAGGAAGGATGCCAGACATACTGGAGAAGGTAAAGCCAAGTAAAAGAGCACAGTAAGCGGCTTGGCAGATTGGTTCCCTAGCTTAAAGGTTTACAGTTCTTCATCGACTCTGAGCCATGTAGGCCTGAGATGGGTCCCTGCAAGGCACTCCTCTTCCCTCACCTGCTCCTAGAAAAGGCAATAGTACCTTTTTCCTCAGGGTTTTATCAGTTTTGCTGTAGCCACACCCCCTTGCTCGGATAGGTGTTCCAATCCCTTTCTGGCTGGTGCTAAGCCAATCAGGTGATTCCTTTCAGGGGAGAACTGCTGTCCCTGTCTCTGGGACTTTGTAATTCACTGTCCTGGTCCCCCTCTAACTAGAGATGCTACCTGAAGGGATAGCCCGGTCTTGGAGCCTACTTAGGGCACAGCTAGACATCATGGTGTTCCTGGGGATGATGTCGCCATTTTAGAGCTGCGCGTGGGCGTTTAAAAAATGCCACGAGGGCCCGATCTTTAGAGGCTCCTTAAGAACATAAGAGAAGCCAATGTTGGATCAGGCCAATGGCCCATCTAGTCCAACACTCTGTCACACAGTGGCCAAAAATACCAGGTGACATCAGGAGGTCCAGCAGTGGGGCCAGGACACTAGAAGCCCTCCCCAAGCACCAAGAATACAGAGCATCACCTGCCCCAACCTATGAGTTCCTATCTATACCTTGTGGCTGATAGCCACTGATGGACCTCTGCTCCATATGTTTATCCAGTTCCCTCTTGAAGCTGTCCATGCTTGTAGCCACCACCACCTCCTGTGGCAGTGAAATATGAAGAGGAAAATCATGGGGCCCAGGATGGGAGTCATGACACCTACATTCACAAAGCAAAGTAAAACATTCTTACACCCCATAATCGGGTGAAGTGTTATTTTATCTCACGTGCCATAGTTTTCCATTCAGTCCATTCATTTCTGTTTCCCCTCCCCACTCTGCATTGCCTGAGTACATGTATGTATCGATAAAACATTGCAGTAAAGCAAATTTGGTGCGACAGGATGTGTGATTTCATCCAGATTCTTTTGAGTGCAGCGTTTCGCTAATGTGAACAATGGAGGATTCCTGTCACTTAATTTCATTTAGAATCATAGAGTTGGAAGGGACCTCCAGGGTCATCTAGTCCCCATACCTCCAGTGACCCCTGTTTCATGCCCAGAAGATGGCAAAAAAACCCTCCAGGATCCCTGGCCAAACTGGCCTGGAGAAAAATGGCTTCCTGACCCCAAAGTGGCAATCAGCATTTCCCTGGGCGTGTGAGAAAGGGCCACGAGAACTAAGCACTGAGGCAACCCTTCCTGCTCTCCCTCTCATGATCTGCCTAAATTCACAGAATCAGGATTGCTGTCACTTCAGAGTCAAGAGTAGGTAATCCAAGAGGCTGAGATCTGGGGAGCAATTTAGATGAACACAATTTCAGAAGCATCCCTAATGGCTGTTTTTCACTTCGCCAGCACTGAAAAACATTTGTACTCTGCCAAGAATGTGAATAGTGGCTTTAGGAATGGATCCTTATGACTACAAAGACACAGAGACTTTCCCCCCAGTGTATTTTGTATAGCTCCGTCCAAAAAGAAGTGCGTGGGTGTGTGACCTAAGAGCGCATAGAGCAACCCGCTGAGATCTCAGATGGCTTTTAATTTATTTGTGTGGTAGCATCTTAACTCAGAGTGTCATTAAGGCCAGGTTTTTAACCGTGTGTCCAGGCAGTACCAATTCAGTCTGCCAATGGGGGGGTCTGTTGCGGGAGCATGAGTGTAGCGGTCCAAGGCCTGCCGTTAGGCTAGTCAGCACCCTTATGGACTTTCCAGCCTCCCAGCCTTACCAGCTCTTTGCTGCAGTTCTTGCTGCTCTGTCCCTTATAGTAACCACACTGCACAGTCCAGTGGTACACTATGTACAAGGGTTTTATTCACAGAATATACAAACAAACTGCTTCGCCAGACACTCGGTTTCTCAGAAGAGAACGTGCATGGCTTCTGTACAAGACTTATATACATCAGTCCACCAACGAATGAACGTTTGCACAAAAAATCCCCTCCACATAGAAATCTAGCATGTTAGCGACCAAAATTCTAGCTCCGCCTTCACCCCAACATGTTAGTTTTCTGCCTTGCATGGATTTATTTTATTTTTATTTTT